TCTCATCTTTTTAAGTGGGAGAACTTGCACAATTGGTGGCTGACTAAATACTTTTTTGCCCCACTGTATACATCTTCAGCTTGCCCTGGATAGGGGAAAATATTACTATTACTACTGCTTTACCATTGGTACATCTAAGGATGACTTGAGTATTTCTTATTCATGGGCTGGAAACAAGATGAAAGCAATGTTATGAAGACATGGCAGAAAAATGATATTGTCGGGATGTTTGTGCTGTGGTTAGGTACAAATGGGAAAGGCCCTTATCTTAGGTATTGGTGATCTATATAACTATAATTTAAAAGGTAAGGGAGAAACTTTCTCCAAGGATGCAGAGAACTGTGGCAAAATTGTGTTTGTACCTTTGGGGCTAACTTGCTATTTGTTACCAGCAGTAATCAGAGAAATGGTAGCATTGTCCTGCTTGATTTGGAAGCCATGTCCTCAAGTCTAGATAAGACCTTTTCACCTGAAAGTCAGGATTATCTTGCCTAATCTTATTGGAGTACTTGTTCTAATTTTAGTGATGATACCAAACAAGAACTCTGATCTTTGAAATGTTCCACATGCAGCATTTATTGTAAATAATAATTTGTAGAATTTTAAAGCAGTTGTAGTGATGTAGGTATTTGTTCCATTTGGAATTTTCTCCCTTCTTGTGATTCCCATCTCTCTTCCTGTCCCCCCCCCCATATCATGGCAGAAAAAACAAAATAACTGAACTCCTTTGGCTGTGGCACTAAGAGCCCCCCATCTGTAAGCAGTTTATAGCAAACAAGATACTGTAATGTAACAAGACATGAAAGGAAACTGTCCAACAATATAAGTACAGTATTACAACTAGGCTAAGAAATTATGACTTGCAACTAACCACATATCCACTGGGTGTCAATGTCTCATAAGGTACATATATCTCTATAATCAAAAAAATAAAAGCCATATGAATTTAATGAACAGTATTCAAAATCTTTTACATAGCAAAAACAGCAAAAATAAATATTATAAAATTAAAAATAATTATTTTTTACTAGTTACCTATGCAATTGGAACAATTATTTTTAATTTGAAGTTTCAAATAGAGGAAAAAAAACCCTATTTCAATTAGATTGTGTTACAAAAATATCCCAAGGTAATCATGATATTCAGAAACACATTCATTTCTTAAAAGGTTCACTTCCCTCCTTAACCCACAGAAATATGTTAATATACGTCTAAAGCCTGGAGGGCCTTTGCCCAGATTCATCTGATGTGCCAATTGCATCCTTACTTGGACCAGGATTCCCTTCTCACAGTCACTCATGCGTTAATCACCTCACATTTGGCTATTGCAATGCACTTTACATGGGGTTTCCCTTGAAAATCACTTGGAAGCTGTACCTGATCCAGAATGCAGCTGTGTGGGCCATTATGTGCATACCTTGGTATGCCTATGTGATTCCTCTATTGTACTGCACAAGTTGTATTTGTTACTGGTGAGTTTCTGGGTGCAATTCAGGGTGCTGGTTGTGACCTATAAAGCTGTTCATGTCATAGGGTCTGATTACCTGGGAGTTCATCTTTCCCCAGTTATTTCTGCCTGCCCTGTACGATCAGGCAGAGTAAATATGGTCCAGATCCCATCTTTGAAATACAGGTAGTACTTGCTTAATGACCAGAATTGGGACCAGCAACTCTGTTGCTAAGCAATGTGATTGTTAAGCGAGACAATACGTGTCCACAACTCTCAGTTTCACTGCCAGCTTCTCCATTGGCTCTGCTTGTAAAGCCAGTTGTCATGCTCTCAAATGGTGGTCACATGACTGCAGGACACTGACAGTTGTAAACACCTGCCACTTGCAAAATGCCTGAATTTCAATCATGTGACAGCAGGGATGCTGCGACAGACTAAAGTGCAAGGACCGGTCATAAGGTTACATTTTAGTGCCGTCGTAATTTTGAACGATTATTAAACAGGGCAGTTGTTAAGCAAGGGCAGTTGTAGTGTCATCTAATGGATCTCAGGTAGTATGCCTTCTCTGTCATGGCGCCTGCCTTCTGAAATGATACTTCCTCAGAGGTTCATGTTGTCCCTGATCCTGTATCCTTTCCCCAGGTCTCCTCTTTTCCCAGATCCAGGAGTGGTTTTCTTTGGCTCTCTTGTTTTGGTCTTATTAGCTTTATCAGGTCATGCCATTTTATAGGTTAATTTTATTATAAGTATCCAGAATTGATTGGGTGGAGCAACTCTATAAATTTGATGAAATAAATAAAAATAAAATAACCCAAAGAGATGATGAACTGCCTTTAATTGGTTCTGATCAGGTGAAGCCTAGTTATCTGTTGGAGACAGTTTAATTGGGTTCCTACACTGAGTGGATGGTTGGCTCCTTCCAAGTCTATGATTCTCTGGGGTTCAGAGAATCAGCTTTAGCAGAAGAGTGGCTGGGAACAGACAACAGACCTGAGATGAGAGAAGATATAAATAATTTTGGAACATTAGAGGCATTAGTAGTTTCCAGAGAAAACTAGTCTTTTTTTAAGACCATGATTAGGTCAAGATGCAGGCTGCAATCCTAAGCATGCATACTGGGGAATAAATCCCTTGAATATAATGCAACTTACTGCTGTATAAATTAGATTGCATTTACAGTTTGCATCATTTTATTAACCTGAATGTTATATATGGGTGTTAATTTTAATTAGCAGTTCCCCTCATTTTCAGGTTCATTACATCTAAGTAAATGCTTAATATTGTTTCAACCTTAAAAATGATTGCAGAACCAAATGAATAAATAATCATATTTAAACAATTGATCCATAAATCATAATGCAGTTGATTAATGTTGTTTATTAGATTGTTGCAGAACCAAATTCATGCATAATTTAAATCAGTTCATGAATTATCACAATCAGAGTTGTTAAAGAATATATTTTTCTTTCTTTCTTTCAAGACCACCAACTATTGAGCTGCTAAAGAAAGGGGCAAGGTACAGTAGAATTCTTAATTTCATTTTCATAGCTGCAATACAGTTGAATGAAGTCTCTGATTTCCTACTCTCTGCTTCTTTGCCAAATAACTGCCATTATTGTCGAACGTACAAAGCCTTGCTGCTTGCCTTGATTATTTGGGTATTTTTCTTCCAATCTGAAAAGCCTGTTTGATCTGTATGATTTTCAGCTGGCCATAGCCCTGTGGCGTAATTGAACCTGTTGAAACATGACACAAATACAGTGTTTACTCTTGGGTCCGCCGCAGCAGCTTGTATATTGCTTTCTTTGTAAAAGAAATGGGACCAATTATATGTGCTGAAAGCTTGTTTACATCTTTAGATAATACATTAAATAAATAGGTCTATTGGTGCTGTATTTTTTTTTAAGCAAGCTTTGGCTGTATCTGCAATCTGTGTGCTTTAATACGTGCTTCTAGCTACGTTTGCTAGAAGTCTTTCTTGTGTGCATTTAAAGCACAAAGCCAATTCACAGTGCATACTGTGTACTTGTAATGTGGAGGTGGGAGATCTGTGGTATGGCTTTTTGATGTGCTATAAAGTAAATAACAGGGATTCTGAATCTATAAAGGAGGATCAAAATCAGTGTATTGAAATTGTAGTTTCCAAGCTTCTGATCTTGCTCTTCACTGCTGCATTTTGTATTTTACTTTGAAGAAGTGCCTACATTCCCATAAGTATGAAGCACTATTCCATGTGTCTCTGCTTCACAATCAGGAATATGGCAACCAGGGAAGGAGAGGGAATCTTTTCAATAATGGTATCTAGCTTATGGAACTCTCTTCTGGCAAAAAAGAATGGGTAACTGGCACCTACTTTACTATTTCTTTGATGCCATGTAAATAACCTTTCTGTTTTTTCAGTAAAATTATCATAGCTTGATAATTGCCAGATTCTGGCCCCCTCCATTTGTTTTCTGATTTTAAAATTTTGTTTCTCAAATGAAGTTTAAGCCATCCTACCTACTCCATTCCATTTCATCCCTTCCTGATTTTCAGCATTTTGTGATCATTGAGTGTTCTGACCATACTGAGAACCTCAAGAAAGTCAGCACAGGATAAATTTGGACAAGGCTGGTCTGGGCTCTAGCAGAGCAGAGCGCTATCAAGACCTTGGACAGTTCAGTTATAGGCTCGGATATTTCTTGATATAAAAACTCTTATTACATGCCTGTGTAAACTCAGGCCTTAAAAAGGATGAAGAGCCAGGTGATTCCTAAGGTTCATCTCCATTGCTGAAGAGTCTGGTCTTCAAGACACCCTGACTCTTTCTGAAGTCTGTGACTCCTACATCATTGGAACTGCAGAGCTATGGCACAGCCTGAATCTGAGCTTTCATTTGATGGGAGTGTTATATCCTTCGTCTGGAAAGGCATAAAAAGAAGTGCTGAGAGCTTCCCTTAAGTTAGGATAAAGTGGTGTTCATCAGCTGTGGTCTTGTCAGAGCACTCCTAGTCTCTTGACCCTTGAGACATAACAGTGAGCATGCTTGGACCTTATTAGGAGGGGTTTTCCTCCTACTTAGGTTTTCACATAACACATATTTTTGTATTTCTCCAAACCTTGGTTTTCTCCAAATCTATTGATATTTCCTGGTGTGTGGATGGTATCCTTTTGTTAGGATAAGCCATAGCAGTCACAGCCTGAATGTGAGAATCAGAGTGAAGGTTATTTGTTTTTGTATTGTAGAATCCACTGTGGTAATACTTATACTGACAGGTAGCTTAGACACTATACAGTATAAACAATACATAAAATATAAGTTAGCCAGCTCTAGAAAAGCCCACTTTGTGCTTATTATTCTGTCCTGTTTATTGTCTTGTCTTTCCGGTGACTGGGGAAAAAGTGATTAGACAGAGTTTCTTTGAAATGTGAACATGGGTAGTTCCTTTGAATTTCTGTACAGGGATGAATGGACTCATTCAGATGCTAAGTAGAATGATTTGTTCTCAGAAGAGGCAGGTTGGATAGAGACAACTGGCAGTCTAGGGATAGATTCTTTAGATTTTTAGAGACTTTCAGTTATAAAATCAACTGATATCAGTCACCCTGTCAGATTTACCAGGTAGATCAGACAGGAAACACAACCAGATAAACTAATTCTACTTTATTGTAAAGCTACATTAACAGAATCTTGCAAGTCTGAAAGTATAATTCTCCTGCTGTCACCTTTTTTTTTTTAATCCGCACTCAGTCGTTACTGACTCTATGGTGACTGCTTGGACAAGTCCTTTCATTTTTAAACTAATTCTACTTTATTGTAAAGCTACATTAACAGAATCTTGCAAGTCTGAAAGTATAATTCTCCTGCTGTCACCTTTTTTTTTTTAATCCGCACTCAGTCGTTACTGACTCTATGGTGACTGCTTGGACAAGTCCTTTCATTTTTCAAGGCAAGGTGTTTTTTTTTCGGAAGTGGTTTGCCAGTGTCTCCTTCCTAGAGCAGAGCCCAGCTGGCAAGCGCAGGAGGCGAGGTTTCCGTTGCTTCGCACCTTTTTTGGGCGTGCACGGGTTCCGTGCTACCGGCAACTGCTCCCGACTCCTTTTGCAAGGCGCCGCCAGCATTTTTCCTC